GTTATAGCTCAGTTTATTGTAGAGCATTGAAGACGTAAGCCGTTGAATAAATTTCAGATGTAGAACAGCTGTCACATAAGGAAGAGGGATAATTATTACAGTTCGATAACGGATCATTACGATATGTGTCATTACACACGTATGAATTAATCATCTTGTCGGTTTTAAATCAGTCGTTCCTTTTCGTATGTTCAATTTGCTCTACGATGTTGTAAATTAAATTACTAAATATCGCGATCAATTATTATTTGTCATGTTAAACGGCATCTTGTATTTATCAAAGACGTAGCTGAGATTGGCAGATCGTATATGATAAGCATGCGTTAAAACTATTATGTGTGTGTGTAAGCAGTTTTGTTATATTAATAAAATTGCTGATAACTTTATTGATAATATCACGTCAAAAGCCGGAATTCATAGTCGTAAATAATTTTTCATCTTTAATTGAGAGTGTAATTAATTACAGATTCATATTGTAAATTAATGTTTCACATCAAATGTCTGTTTTATCTGTATCTGTAATTTGTTGTTTGAAAAAACAGTTATTATTTACGATTGAAGATTGAAGATATGTTATAAAAGAAAAAGATAATATGTTCCACATATATACATACACACACGTATCTATATTGTATAAAATTTATCATCCGAATAAATAAATGATTTAAATCTACAATTTCATCAATCTGAAATTGTCGAAGTAATTCATAAATCAGCGCTTTCATAAAGTAAAAAAATATTTGAAAGCTATTCGAATCCTTGTAAAAATTAAATATAAATTCATGAATAATCAAAGATTTATAAAACTGATTATTCGTTAAATAATAATGATCGATTATGAATATCGGCCTAATTTGTAATAATTAATATGTATATAGTATATACATACTTAATATCAATTTGAATTCACAAATTTTAAAACAATTTTTCTTGTATCTTTTGTTTCTTCTCAGAGAGAGTAAAAATTTATACAAAAATAAATTGATAAATAATAAAAAATTAATAAAATCGATTATTCGTTAAATAATGCTATTTAGTTGAATAATATCAGCTTAAATGTGGAACGATTGATATACCATACATTTAATATAATCTTTAGACTGCCGGGAAAGCCACTTTTGTGGCTCTTGAGTTTGGGTTAAAATATCATTATTTTTAGTGGTATTTTAAATATTAAATGAAAAAGAAAGAAAAAGAAAAAAGAAAATCAAAAAGGAGCTACAAATTTTCTACGTCCACGTCGTTAGCTCTGGATAATGCTAAAGGAAAATTCTAAGTCTATACATTTATATATTCATTTATTTTGTCAATATTGCGCTTAGGGCTCAAAATTTTATAAATATATGCTCAGAATTTTGGAATCAGCGATACCAAAAACCCTCAAATACACTATTTTAACAGAGAAAATAAACATTTTCCATATTTGATCGTACGTTCCTTGTCGGCAAAGCCACTTTTGCAAAAATCTCAAAATTTTACGTCATGTGTTACTTTTTGTATAGAAAAATTTTTAAGAAAAAAGAACCACTATTTTAATGAAAATAAAATGCCAGCAGTCTAAAGGTTAACACTAGTTTGATTCTCAAATTTTAAGATACACATTTTTCTTGCATCTTTTATTTTACGAATATCTTTTCAGTAAAAATTTACATAAGGATTACGTCGTTAATTATCGCTGATTTCGTTTAAGCCTTGATTCTCACAGCGCGCGGCGACAACAATCCCTTAAAACGATCCCCCAGTGCGCGCGCTCGCGAGAAGTGAGGAAAGCGCGCATTTAACCGACGATCGAAGGAAAAGAGCGAGGAAGATTTAATCCGACCGATACACGCGTCCGACGTTTTCACATCATCCGGTATGGTTGTATCGCACGGACACGCGTGCGCGCGCCCGCGAGCGCTTTAGCACCTGTATACATCGCACATGAAATATGTAAGCGTGTATGCTCACCCTTTCGTCGCGCGGGCGCGTGTGCTCTAGTCTCGGCTATTATAGTTTGCCGTCGTCTTCATTCAGACTCGATATACCTGCCGGTTTGCAGCTCTCGGTCTATCACCGCGAAGCAGAGCTCGGCTCTTTCTCTCTCTCTCTCTCTTTTCTTGGCTCGCTCGTTCGCCGCCTTCCACATCAAGCGCTATTTTCTTTGCCAGCACGACAACACCACTACCGAGCGATCATGACTTCGCGGAATAGGGTGAAGTAGATAAGTTCACGCTTCGAGAAAAGGAGAGAGCAAAAATTGAAGGGCATAAGAAAGTGGGAAGGGGGAAAAAGGGAGGGCACAAAAGAGCGATCGAGGGCGGTGGGAGTGACAAGTTTCAATTGCTTGACGACGAAGGGAGATCCAACTTCGCAGTGATATCTTCTTACCGTTGCGCGCTGCTATATAACGTCATCGGGAAAGTGCCGTGTGATGCAACCCCCGTACACACGTGCGTGGGGATCACGGGATCGTGCGCGCGCGAACACGTGTGCGTTATATACGTGCGTGATACGAGCACGGCTCGCAATAACGAAAAGTAAAAGCTCGTCGAGAGCACACATCGCATGTAATAAAATTGCTTGTCAATAGTGACGCTTTTCTCCCGCAGCATCTAGAGATAATGAAATCGACATGTCGCCATTATATAAATTTAAATTCTTTGTATTATGCGAGAAAAAAGTCAGAATAAGTCGAATTTATGTGATAGAGACATTCTTTCCGATTATGCGTCCATGTGCGTCGTTTGGATCCTAATTAATTAAAATTTATTTTAGTCAACACACATGAGACTTAGTTTACCTATATAGACATAATTTAACAGTCACACACACAGACACGGCCAAAAAATATAAATTTAATTATCTCATTCCTTCAATTATTTGACCGACTAAAATTCAATGAAAAAATAATTTAATATCGTAATTTGTTGTTTTAAAACATAACAAGCGTTTAACTTTATTGTTATCTGTATTTATATGTTTAAAATTCAATGACAATACACGTCATTTTTGACTCACATAGAAATAGATTTGTGAATCGACTGACTTTATTTTTCTCGCTTTTAAACAAAGAAATAGTTAATATGTAAGTTTATACGACTGGAAGAATGTATATTTTTAGTGGTGGTTTATATGATTGTATTCTTATGTCCAACTTGACATGTGACGTTAAGCGTATTGATTTTTCTAAACTTTTACTAATTTGAAATTTATATGAATAAATTATTATTTCTGTATGGGGTTGAGATAAAGACTAAGTAAAGTTGAAACATTCCCCTCACGATATTGTGTGTATTAAAAACTACTAACTTATAAAGTAATTTTAAATCATGATCCAGTACTGCTCTCAATTGACTTATGTACATTTTATTATTGTTTAGCAAATTAGAGTCAGTAATTGTTATATATATTCGATTAAAATTTATTTTAATAAAAAAGTTTAGAATATGTCTCTGTTTAATCTAATTTGCTAGAAGAATTAAAAACTCTGCATTGTGTGTGCTCACGACATTAATGAGCAAATTGAGACAACCCGCATGACATCTCTTTCTCATGTTCATTTGAGGTATCAGGTTCGTTCGAGAGTACTTTACTCGCGGCCACGTCTCTCAAGAATAAAGTTGTAAAGTTCCATATGTGTGCATAGATATAGGTATACATACGTATGTATGTATGTATATCTACAAGTGCAAAAATCGTATAGTTAGTCTTCGTAAATACTTTTTACAAAGTTGTCTCCAAATTTGCGACTCGAAATACCATAGCATAAAGATTCTCGAAAATTAAGTAAAATAGTTGTGTATAAATTTTTACTTTAAGCAGTAATTTTTTAAATATAAGGTTTTTAATATACACAACCACAATTACAGATTACTGTCCGGTATATTTACATACTGTGTACATACGTTAAGTAGAATTATCAAAAGGTGATTTTATTGATTATTTATATTTTTTAAACATTTTTTGTGTAAAAAAAATAAGATTCTAATTTTTTTTACCTTCACGGCTTTATACTAATAAAATAAAATACTTCATTTTTCACAGCACGTTTTTTTTATTTTCATTGTAATTTATTTGTGTAATCTTTTTAATAAGAAAGGTTGGTATTTCTAGTGTTAATATGAACGTTGTCATGTTTATTTTGAAATTAAGCAATTCAATCAGAAGAGAAATAAATAAATTAATTTGCATTTTAACGCAATAAAAGTTAAAAATAAAAAACTGTTATTTTTAACATAAAAATTAAAAATAAATTTATTTAATTCAAGGGAAATTAGGGGTTATCATTGCTTCTTTAATATCTAAGACCACGATACAAGAAAAAACTTAAGCACTAAATCACAATAAAGACTGTAAGGTCGTAGTAAACAATAGCAAGTTGATAGCTCCTTATTATTTACGTTTTATTGCTTAAGATTTTTGTGTGCTGTAGCTTGTACAGTGTATTGCCTTTAGCGTAAAGTTGTCCATAGAAATATTTTTTGCTTAAATTCATTAAAACAAAAACGGATCTTTATACGGACAATTAATCATTCTTAAGCGTGAAAAATATTTACAAATAATCAAAAGAATAATTATATAGATATGAAAATTATATACGCATTCTGAATTTCTAGTATCTTTGGCGATAGTAAAGTAATAGTAAAAATGAGTTTTGTCACATATCGCAGGAGGAAAATAGTGCGAAGTATCACAAGTTGGTAAGCCACCGTTATGACATAAACACGCGCAATTCATACGTCATAAATTATATTCATGTCAAAGCGTTCCGAACGAAACCGCAATTTTCGATAACGTGTCACGCAATCAGCAAGATATCATAAATGGACTAAAGTCCGATAGCCATTTGATGTCTGTTAAACATTACAAATTTATATAGACGCGCACGTGCGATGAAACTTGGTAGATGACGTCCTGATTGCTTTGGCTTGGGAGAGCCAAATCAGCGATCGTTCAATTAGTAACAAAGGATCGTAATCATGATAACGATGTCGAAGAATGATGACGTTGACACTTACCGGCCACTTTTCGTGATGACCATTTCTGTCCCGAGCTTATGAAATTTCTCCCAGAGCTCTTTGCCCTCTAGGGTGACTTTAGGATCGTCGACGACGCCGTCTTCCTCCGGGTGATGAGGAGGTACGAGGGGATGATGTGGCGCCGTGAGAGGGTGATGCGCGGCCAAAGGATGCGGCGATGTATGAAGCATCCCCGGCGGTAGTGGTGGCCTTAGAGGCCTCATCGTAGGACCGCCGGGACCTTGGTGATGGTGATGTAACGCCGCCGCGGCCGCCGCCAGAACTTCTTCCGGCGTGTGCGGGCCCAGCCCTAGGCCTGAAATTTTACCGAATGTTATGCGATCTAGTTTGAAAAAATATACCAATAATCGCACTGAAAGAAAAGATTGGCTGTTGCAGCAAATTAAATGGTAAACAATAAACAAAATATAATTCTTCAAAGGGAAAATGGTAAAATTAAATGGTAAAAAATTACCTGTACTATGTTCAGCCAATCTTTTCTTTCAGTGCGTTTGTTCTTCAATATTCAGATTATTATTGCGTGATAGTAAGAAAGTATGGTAAAAACAATTAATGGAGACATCTGACAGATTTTTCGGTAGGAGTAATTTAACGGAGAGTAGGGCTATAATCACGATAATCGAAAATCGGTATCAGTGCGATGAGCAACATATGGTCGTCTCTCTCGATAATCCACGTAAACGCAACATGCGAACTGTCGATCCAGCGAGCGGGCCGCAAATCAGCGATGGGATAACAAGTAAAAGACAGCTGCTTTAAGTTCCGCGAGGGTGAATCACCTGGCAGTTCACGATAGCAACCCCCGGAGGAAAGTTGCGGATTCTTCTCTACGCCTCCCCGACAGCCACCTTTTCCCTTCACCTGACTCTGATCTCAAACTTCCTCTTCTCCTCTCTATTCCCATTACGGCGACTTAAAAAGGATGTTTTGCGGAAATTGCGAGCGGACGCGACTAACTATATACACTTTATTCTTGAACTGCAAAGATGCATCTTTAAGAATAGACCTATTCTTGAATCAATAAAGCAATCTACCTATACTATCTTCTTATAGTGATCGAGAATATCATAATTTCAAATATAGCGACAAGATGTTGCAAATTAACAGAATAGAGAGATATACAAATGAAACTATAAATATAGAAATATATTATATGGCAAATCCTGTTTGCTTATTTAAACTGAAACCGCAAAAGTATAATGCGATAAAATATTTATAAACAATTCAGCAAAGTTGCGACGATTTCCCGAAAATATGACTTGAAATCACATGCAGACGTATCAAAAATGAAGAATCTTATTTTACGCGTTGTGTATCAATGCGAGTCACTTCGTGAGAAATTGCATTAGTCCGTCTAGATAACACCACCGTTTGCTATAATGTCAAGTTAGCGAAAATGATTAATGTAAATCACCGTTCATAAATGTTATGAGTAATGATGCAGTTAATAGTTAACGACGTAGATACGGCAGCTCCCGGTATTTCCTTTCCTTTTCAATCAATTACCATCTGTAAACGGGAAAAAATACGAAAAACCTGTTACCGCGTGTAATGACTTTATGATTGTTACCGCGGCAGATCTCTGTAAGTCAATTCTGAGCTCGATAACTATTATCTTCAATAATCTTTAATCCCGTTCTTTCTCGTGCGTATTAATTATTCCGTTACTAAACATGTAAAAGAAAATGTAATCGCTACTGTACAATATATACTCGTGTGTTTCTATCATACAATCTCTCTCGATGAGACATCGTGCCGATGGAAGTAATGATTCATGCATAACCTGCAGCAAAGTATGGTTTACCTTTATGTATTTATCACGCAATACTTTCTTTTCAAAACAAATAATGACAATAATTACAATAATTTGACAAGTCTGTAATTCAGTCTATATGTATATGATTAACGTTCATTCCTTTTTGTCTAACAAGTTATTGTGCGTTAAAAAGGTCTATTATTTGCTTGCATTCTATTATTTATTGCATTCTATTAATATTTCTAATGGTTAGAAGTTCATTTTACTTTTGCTAGTGTCGTTATAGAAGGTACCGTATAATTTAATCTGATTTCTCGTAACGCGCGTTATTATGATAAATGTAACGTGTAATTGCGTAAAGAAATAAAAACCCGACATTGAAAGAAACAAAACATTTGCAGCATCCTTAACGTTTGAAATATTTGGTTACATTATCACCTCTTTGTGTTTCGCGTATCCTAATTTATTTATATAACAATTTGTAATTACATGTTTTTGTGAAGAAATTATTGTATTTTTCATATTTTTTTATACGTAGAAAGTGTTGCAATCGTTAATAAACTTTAGCCGACAATCACAACAGACAAAAGTGCGAAAATAAACACGTTACGTAACATTTTTTTTACGAATCGCGCTCACGACACAACAAATACAACGCATATTTCAAATTACAGTCATAGCATTAATTTATACGCGCTTTAAATATACGTTATCTTTTGTAATGCAATAAAACTGTAAAATGTAACGATACTTGTAGCTTTAATTTTGCACGATTTCGCGTGTACATGCAAGGTACGCCTTTTTATTGTATATACTCGTCGATAAATCAGCTGGGTGTTTATATACGAAACTGTCGTAATTCGTAATTTAAATAATACTCCTGCAGTCGTAAGATGCACGGCGTGCAGGAGATGAATAATTATACGCGACGCATGGACGGAGGAATTTGTTTGCAACCGTATTTGTTGTTTGCGCGTTAAACGGTAATGTGTATTTGCGTTTGTGTAAAGACAAGCGATGTGGATATAATACTAGAGTAAAGTTATAGGGCACTAAGTCGATAATAATATACCGCGCGCGATCTTATAACAGATTTGCGAGACTGCTTATTCCAGGCGCGGTTTTCTTGCCATTTCTTTTTGTGTGTCGTTATATATATTGAAAATATTGAAAACGCACCCCGCCCGCCGTTTTGCTGATGTCTCAAGATGTGTAATACGCAATGTAACCACAATACGAAATGTAAACCCCGCGTACTCGAGAGAGCGTGTGCGGTCACGATTATAAACATATCACGGGGTGCTGTCGTGCGCGGACTTTCGCCGCAGTCGAACGAGAGATTGATCGCGCGAAATAGGCGATATTTTTACGCGTTAATGCATTCAGGAAACGGCTATAAATTCGCCGAAATTCGTAGCATATTAACTGAACGAAAGCGCTAGTGAACCGTGATGTTTGGTATTCCGTTCGTTTATCAAACGCACATCCCAGATACATCTGACGCGTAGCTGAATCGAATTTTATCGAACACTTAGCCGCGTGCACTCGATGTATTTTGATTTTTATTCGTGAACCAGCAACGGAAATATACACGCGCTTCGCGATATGCGACGTTCTTTAACCGCGGCGTTTTTTTTTTTTTTTTTTTTTTTTTTTTTTTTAATAGGACGTGCTATATTTTTCACGTGAATCCACGCGCAATCGAAGTACACCGCGCTAAAAATGTCCAGACTGAGCGGAATGACATACGATTGTTCGCAATGATGATGATTACACGGTATCGCTAATCGAGAGAGAGGAGAAAGGAAAAAGAGTAACCGTCGGCTCTCTCTGTTCAGTATCCGCGACATGGCATTTATGTAACACGTCATGCCACATTATTTCTTATCAAAGGGAGATGAAACTTTGAGTGTGTGACGCAAGTGCGAGGTTCCTGTCGAGATGACGGCGCGGATTAAGCCGCTCTTCATTTAATTTCCATTTATTTTGCTCTTTTACTAATTTTCGTGTCGCTCCTCGACCGCGTCGGATTGCATATTCATTATATTACTGGCGATTCCAACGAAGTTGGAACATTCTTCCTGTCGGTTATTCGCCAAGCCCTATTCCTATTTTAATGAAAACGGAAACATTAATTAGCGCAAAGTGTGCAACCTTGGGATACATATCTATCCAGATACGATTTCTTGCGACACACACGCTCTTTTATTGTGCCTAATAAGACGGATTGAAAGTTTTTCGAAATTTCGGAAAAGCTTCTTGGAAAGGACACTGGTACCCTGAATAATCGTTCGATCTCTCGGGATAATTTTACGTTTGCGGTTACGATTTTTTGCATATTAATTACGCGCGACATGGAACTTTGATCGCGGGAAAAACGTACGCTTTGTTACGGCGTCACAAATACGCGGCGAATTTAATAACTCTCCCACGATTGGAAGGACCGTTATCAAGCAGTGAAAATACACATTGCTTCATTGCCGTCAATTTATCAACAGCCGTGTGCGTAGCCTATTCTCTCTGCACAAGTAATACATTATTGAAAATTATAAACAAGCAGCAGGCGTATAAAGCCTCGATAAAATGCAGAACGCGGATTTTCGATTTACCGAACGTGATTTCTGCGTCGCACAATGCCTTAATACAATTGCTAACAACAAGACACAACAATGCCCCGCACATTTAATCGTACCGCGATATCACATTCGAATTTTCCATCGTTTTCACGAGCGGCGATTTTGTCACTGCGAGCGCGTAGTCCTTTTTACCATACGTGTGTACATCTAACTGCGAACGACAGATTAATGCGATCACAGTCGCCTACCGAATGGGATTATTATCGCTCCGCAAAGTGAAACTGGAATTAATTTCACGATAAAGACTAATATGTATATTTTATTTCGGTCCGTTTTTAGAATCTGATCTAAATGGAATCTGATCGAACGCGCGTTTACGAGGCATATTTTTCGTCTTGTAAGTTGTCGCCGCCGCAGCCACCGCGTTGTATATTCGACACGCACGCAGAAATAAAACGTATATTTCACTTTCCTTTTTGCATATCCAGTTCTTTTTCTCCCCTTGCCGCATCCCCGTCGCTGTCGTTTTCTCCTCGGAGTACACGGGTTACGCACGCAAGTACACGGCGGCGTCCCGAATTTCGAATGCAAGGAACGTCGTCGGGCATGCCCTTGGCGAGATTAATCGCCACTACCTTACGGTCAGTTGGCCGCGAGCCCGACTTACGGAAAAGAGGAAGAAGAACGAGCACCGTTTCGAAAAATGACGGTAAAACAGTATAACGGATGGACAGATCGCATCCTGGCTCGACGATCGGACGTCGCGATGAACCGCGAGAACACGTCGGCTTCGCGTCGTTCGAGGGAATCGTCGCTGTGCGCGTCGCGATTACAGATGGAAGATGAAAACGAAGCACAGGATCTCTCTCCAATTTTTCCAACTGCGTTTTCTTAATTCATTTGGCAGATTTCTTTATTTATCATCGAAAGAAAATATATTCAAAAATATATTCAACTGTCACCGTTAGACAAAAAGTAGGATTTCACCAACAAAATGTCGGTTAATTTTTTCACGAAAAATTTTCGATCCAATATTATTGAATCGCGGCGCAGCAAGTGAAATATTACAGCAAGTGAAAGAGTTGTACGTCAGCAGGAGCTAAATTGTCTAGCGGCAACATGGTAACGCGCGTGTCTACCGACGTCGGGAATTAATTCATCATTTAGCCTAACGAAGGGAATAACTAGTTGTAGCGGATGAGGTGGACGCGCGTAATAATGCGATGTCAGATAAGACGAGGACGAGCGCGATGAGCACGTTGTCGGCTCTGGAAATCGTTCTTCCGATTCTTTGTTTTTTTTTCTTTTTTTCACGCACCTGGCACGACATTTGCAGACAGCATTGCATCCCGCTGTTATTGCCGCCTTTTATTCACAGAGTAAAAACGAATGATAAAGAGTGCTTTTGCGCGTCGTATTTTCCTTTTCTAATCCGCGTTCTTCATTTCGAATGCTAATAGAAAACTTACACCATTAGACGTGGATATAATTCCAGAGCTCTCGAAAAATTTTGCGACAATGCTTAACGCTGACGTATTTCGTCGCTTTCTCAAACACTTTTCCACGAAACGTCTTGCATTTTTGCATATCCGCGCATATTGTGGTTCGAACATTTTCATTCGTCGGTGGAAAAGCATACGAGACAATACATTTTAAAAGTAATGAAGTCGAAGAATTGAGTCACACGAATCCACGTTCGCTCTGTTCGTTTAACGCTGAAGATATGCCAGATCGATTGCATTATCACTGCCTAATATATTGCTGACTATGCACCAATTGCACATTTTTTTTGTCGACTGCGTTAAGCCCGAGGCACAACGGAAGAGCACAGGTAATAGAGAAAGGGAGGACTAACAGATTTCAACGATCAGAAACCGTATAATACACTGGAATACATGTTTTCTTATAGATTAATTGAAACGATAAAATCCGGGATTCCCTATTTTTCTGTTGTCTGTGCTTTTCAATTGTCAATCTCAATTGTAATCGCGTCGTATTCTTTCGATGATATCAACGTCGCTGTTGTGATCACTGATAATCGAGTGCAATCCGATTTCTTTTTTACCGTTTTTACAGTTCACGTATATCGAATCACAAATCACATTTCCATAATTAATATATCTTCCGAAAGCTAAAGAAATCACCCTTTTTCGAGAAGAACGAAATGTATTATCGGCGCGCAGTTCGTTTAAACTTAAAATTCACACAAAAATATTATTAGGCGCCAAGATCGTTTTCGCTCAATATTGTGTTGAAATTCATTTTAATATAGGTATATAAAACGTCTTAGTTTCCCGCGCGAAAAGAAGTTAAAGATGTCTGTCCACGTTACAAGCTAAATTAATGAGAAAAGACGTTTAATAGAACATGCTTTATGAGTGAAAAAGTTGCAATTAATCTCTCGATTGAAAATGCACAAAGCGGGGAACGTATATAATCTCGAATATTGCACGAACGTTCATTCTCGCAAGATATTCGCCAACTATTCTGAAAATATTGTCATACCCTGAGGATAATCTCATTATTATGACGCGAATTGTGACGGGATCGGAACATTACAGCCGCGATTTGACTCCGATAACTCTCTCTCTCGCGAAACTCTCCATCGAAAAACAAAACAGATAAAGCAAAGTCGAGCCACACTCGACGACACTTTCGGCGACATTTCCCTCTCTTTCTCTCAGGCGTGGAACAGAATATTATTGAGAAAACAATTAGCAGGCGATTGGTTGGGCACAATCAAATGTCGCGACATTAGCGCCAATCTTTATAATGGCACCAAACGACTCGGCAAACAAGGTAATAAACTGTCTTTAATTAGCGGCATTTAATATCAATAGCGGCGAACTACGTCGCTTTATCGTCGCGCGAATTAACAATGGCCGCCGTTCGCGAGATGCGTCTAATTATTGCGCAGTATCGCGCGAGGAGGAAAAAAAACAAAGCAGAGAGACTCGCGCGAGAAAACGCGCCTCGATCTACTTGGAAGCGGCGCGACGCGACGGACGAAACGCGCAATATTTCATACGCCGTCGTTTTCTACCGTGCGGCCGTCGCGCGCTTTGACGTCGTCGCACGCCAAGTTGTACGCGATCAGGATATTGCGTAAGGTCCGCGAGACGAAACGAGACGACGTGAGTGACAAACGAGAGACTTCCAGCTCGTCACGAATATGTGCGCCCTTCCGAAAAACGTGCGCGTTTCCGGCGGCGACAATGGCATCGCGCCAGAACAACGAGATGCGCGTCCGCAAGCTTCTTCTTGAAACGCCGAGCGATTATTACGTCGATTTCCGACCGATGGAGAGAGCTCGAGCGAACCGGCGACTTTTGCCGTTCTATCTGCGTAACATTGACATCATACGGCTCGGATTTGTCATCGAAAAGAAAAAGTCAAGTCAAACTTGCGATACGAAGAAGATTCATCTTTCGTTTTATGGATAAAATAGACGGAATGTCTAAGCGCTAGAGTCGGAAATAATAAAAAGCGGAGAACGATATGTCCGCAACGCGAAAACTGGGGAAAGTAAACGTGTTCATAAAACCTGCCGCCTAATACTCGCGCCAGTAAGTACCGTCTCTGCAGCCGAAATAAACACCGTCAGCATTACCGTTGGCACGCAACAAGTTTGTTTAGCTCGTACGGTTAGCTTGTACGACTCATAAAACTTGCTGGCCCCTTTCGCCTGTCTCTCTCTCTCTCTCTCTCTCTCTCTCTCGTCGTGCTGACGTATTAATTAAATGCGCGGGAGCACTTTCCTCGACGAAAACACACTCTTTACGCGCGCGAGATCGCTACTATACCCCACTAACTATATAGGACGGCTTTAGGAAACTACCTACTAATCCTCAGCCCCCTGCCGCATGAAGTGGGCTGCCTCGAGAAAAGTCTAACGGTAAAATGTTCATTTTTACTGGTTCACACCGGACACCAAGACAATCCAAGACGTAGGATATAAACAATACACTTTTGGCTAAAGGAAACATCACGCTGCGCTCTTATTACCTGGCGGCGTAATACCGTGCGGGTTGAGATGCGGATGATGATGCGCGCCGGCGAGTATCCCCTTGGCCTGAAGATGATGCGCCGCCGTCGGTCCCGGCGAACTGGTGGGCGGCAGATGTGCCGGACCGTAGAAACTCGCTGCCGCCAGGGCGGCAGCGCTGAAGTAACTCGCGGCCGCCACCGCGGAAGATGGGTGCGACAAGTCACGCTGACCGCTCGCGGGTAAGGGCGGCGGCGGAGTCTCCGGCGCTGCTGCCGGACTACCGGGTCCGCCGGGCGGCGGAGAAGCGCTACCCTGAGAGGACGAGCCGCCCAGAATACCAGGCGGATGGGTGCTCGCCGCGGTCAACAGCGAGGAGACGCTAAAGTCCGTCGGTCGCGGTGCCGCCGGTGCGGGCAGGGTGATGTGGCCGTTCGGGTTGCTGGCGGGCGGCGTGCCGCCGGCGAGCGAGTTAGCGAAGGTCGAATGTTGATTCAGAGCCGTCGCTGACGCGGGATACGCCATCCCAGGCCCCCCGGCCTCGGCCCGCGGCCCACCCGTATTCGCACCCTCGACCACGTTAGCCTCCAATTCTATGCCAAGTCTACGTCGTTGACCGTCGACGTCCTTCGCGGAGGAGTCCTCCTCCTCCTCCACCACCACCTCCTCTGGCCGTGATCGCTGCTGCAGCGCGGAGGGTTGCGGAGTGCTGGCGCAGTGGGTACCCCTGCACGCCGTGTCTTGTTCGAATCTCATCGAGACGGGCGGGTGTGCCGAGTCGCGCGAGATTCCTCTTCGAGTGACTCAAACCTCGCGCTCTCTCTCTCTCTGTGCTCGATGTTGCTCGCCGCAATCCTCCTACGACCCGAATTACGCACGCGGGACGGACGCTGCGTTGCTGCGACTCTTCCTTCTTCCTATGTCGACGGCTCTCTAGGTGTCAACGATTATTATTACGCTCGTTCCTCCACATATCCAAGAAAAGAGGCGCGCGGCGCCTCAAGACTGTGGATCACGTTCCTCGTCGTCGGTACGCCCGCGTCGTTCTTTCGCGCCACCAATTTCCGACCGTAGGAAATCGTCGTCGACGATCGTTGTCTCGCTACCGAATGACGCTGATGGAAATTGCCTAGTCGACATCTTACTCCGAGCGGACACTCGATCCTGCCGGCAGGATTGTCCGACTTTGTGTCTCAGCTGGATCTCTCACCAATTAATACAGCGCCAAGTGTGCGTTCGATCGGAATTATCACTCGCGCGAAAGCGTCGTCCGTTTTCGGAGCACCTGATCTCTAATCGGGTCGAAGAGGATGGCAGCACACTGACACTCCGAATCGTCGAGGAGCTGGTACACTCGCGAGCGGACGTCTACGGTGACGCCGCGTCATAGATCTTCAGTATAAGAGTCACTCTCATGTCGAGACACTAGCCGCGCGATGCACTCTAGGCCCCATAGTGCGCGAATCCGTTACTCTCACTTGTGTATCACTTACTTACTCTTCTGTCGTCTTTTCCCTCTCTTCGTTTCTCTCGAAATGCTCCAAAACACGACACTCGGACACTCGTTCGATGGGTCCGACGGGTTTAAAGACCACCACCACCATCAGTCTCGACGAGAGGACAGTTTAGTTGAATGCGTCACACGCTGGTCGACATGCGTGATTCGACACGAGGAGCGCAAGTCGACGATTTGACGATGACGTGAATAAAAAGGAGCGAGTTTATCCTTCTCTCGACGCAAGGCGACGACGACGACGGTGCTCTCGGGCCGGGGCTGAAGAGCGGACGAAAGGTGTTACTTGGGTGGCGCCGCGATGGTCACTGAGCAGCGCTAGGATTGACACCTACTCTGGGGGCTCACCCCCACACCTCCCACGGAGGTGTTGGTGTGCTAAAGTCCCCGTCCGGATTCAGGGCGGTGTGTACGCGACGGCCGCGTGTATATGGGTGGTCCGCGGCACCGTGTGTGTGCGTTACGCGCGTGTATACAGACCGCGGTGTGCCTGCGCCGCAGAACGGACGCGGGAGGCGTGAATGCTGGAGGGCAGCGACGCGAAGACTGAGACCATGCGGGGGCTCCTCCTCCCTTCCCCTATGACCAGCCGGGGTTGGGAGTGGGGGTCCGGCCTTCCCCGACTGTCTACAAGCAGCCACGAGAGTAACAAAGACCGAGATGCCGGACCGGCGAAACGAAGCGGCGAGCGGTGGGGAGAAGGGTGAATTTCGCGGCACCTTCTCCCTACCACCCGGTCGGGCGATAATGAGCGCTCGTAGTCCGGATTGGCGTTCCGGCGCCAATCCGAGCGGCGTTGGACTCGACGCCTTTTCCGACGCTACTCGAGCCAACGACCGGTCTCACTCGCGCCTTCGCACGCTCTCCCTGTCTCCTCTCCTCACGGACTTATCCCCACCGCTACACGTCACGTACGCACACACTCTCGCCGCGCTCTCCGTTTGTCGTCGGTGAACTCGACGTCTACCCCCACCACCTTGCTTCTAAGGGTGTTAACCGCGAGTACGCCCATTAACACCACCCTGCGTCACTGCCTTCCAACGAGGGCGGGGGCATCGAGTACAGAGGAAGGGAGCACACGACCGACGTCGCGAGGTGTCGTTAGTGAAGCTCGCTCGAATCTTCGCCGACTGAACGTTAACGCTCTCTCGCATTTGACACGCGAGAGAATTTTCACATTTGACTTGCCACGTTGTTCGACACCTTCGTTTGCTGAATCATAGAATATAATGCTATTGCTATCAGATCTGTCATTCAGCATTTCGATTAATTGCAACGATTGAAAACTTTTTTCGAGATTCATCAGGTATTAAAAAAATGATATTTTTTATCTAATAAAAAGGGAAGTATAATCAGAGCGCCTTGAATAAATAATTTAATTTGGATTGAGAAATGAGTTACTCAAATACACCATTCACACGTTATAATTTTAATCTTATTAATTTTTCTTTATTACGGTTGGCCATACTGTTTGAATAATTGAGAAATTTGCTTAAATATTAAAAACATTTATCATATTTGTATGTAATTTTATCAATTAGCTTAAATCTCCGTATTTCATTAAATACAATATTTGTAATACACGTTCCAAATTATTTAATTCTATTATGATAAAAGAATTAAAATTCACGTATTATAGATAAGCGAATTTCGATTACTTGGGTAATACGGGTTGTATATAACAGGTGCCAGTGTATTATTAGCTGCACAATTTCTCTATCCAGGTATTATTAACTTTTTTTTAACTTGTACTGTCATTAAATAAAATTTTACCTTAATAATAAGGGATATATATATCTTCAAAGTTCTGACTTGATGATATAGGGTATAATATCAATTTCAATTAATAAGTAATATGATGTAACGTATAGCAGATATACTTTTGTCAATAATATTATACATATTTTGTGACTTATTATGTCTTACAATTCCAAAATTGAAAAAATGCCAATAGTCTTATTTAAGCGAATTAGAATAAGGCACGAAAAATCACATAATTGAAGATCAAACGAACTTATCTGTATAAGTAAAGTTCGACCAAAATTGTATGAAGAGAATATAATTCCTCTGTGTGTGTGGAATCACGTTTGGCGACGAGTTTCACTCGAAAATGTATAGATACCTATATATAGGTATCTTTCCATCGTGCGCGCACTCGCGTGGCGAATATACTTTATCATCGCCGTAATGCAATACAATTGCGACCACGTCGGGAATTCAGCGAGTTTTCCGCGAAATACCGCGAGTGAGAAGTTTTCGAGAGCCGTGCCAAAATTCGCACGGTACAGCGTCATGAGTCTCACCCTGTCTCACTCCGTTCTCTTCTCGCTTGCACTCTCAGGCGCTCTCCCGTTTCAGTGTAGTGGTAGCAGCGACACAGAGAGGAAACTTATAGCCACACCCCCTATACCCCTACCGTCACCGCGATCATCCCCTCTCACGGTATCACGTGATCAAATCCGTTCCCCTTTCGCGTTCACTATCTCTGTCGTCCGCTGTGCTTCCCCGTCTCGTCTCTCGCGGGTGCCGCCCTTCACCCTTTACTTCTGGCGAAACCTCTCCCGCTCTGTCGTGAAACGTTCGACGCTCGTCCTTCGCGCCGCAGAGTGTCGTTGAGACGCCCAGAGCATCACAGTGTTGCCAAATCCGCGAGAAGCTTTTCTACCCGCGCGGACTGGAATTATGTATTCAGAATCATATTATTCGGGAGCATCGTAAAGAGTGACCGCCGTCACACTGAAACCGTCGATCGGAAGTTGCTTTTTTTTATTGGCCCAAAGCGAAATTCAGTCTGCCGGGCCATGATCCGGTTTAATCATAATTATATGGGGAGAGAGAAACGCGGGAGGATTAAACGTCTGGAATAAAGGGGGCGGATCATGTTGCTTCATTATTTATTGCTTCTGCAGTGAATTATTGGCAACGTGCACCTTTCCGTTGCACTTTTTATAAACTGAATTTTTCTGATTTATTCCACAAGAGAAAAATAATAACAGTGCTTGAAAATTTTTACCTCTAATCACGTTTCAAATTTCATATAGGTATACGTACTTCAGAATACGTCGAATTGACTGCAACGATATTATATTCAATGCACTTTTAAAATACAGATATAAGTTTCATCATAGAAAATCTACGTATTGTATCTAAAATATACATAATGGTTTACAAAGTTAATATTGATACCGGTGTAAAGGTAAAATACACGATATCTTTTTAATATTTTATTCAATTTAAGTTTGTAGCATCTATTTTATTAAATTTAACTTGTAGCATATGTCTTTCACAAATTGAAAAAAAAATTCTCAAGTCAATTTGCAACTTTATAATCGTGTAAATTTAAATTTGTTTATATCAAAGCAAAATTTTCTTTTTTCATTTATATCTTTAGAGTAAAAGATTAGACTAGTTGAGTTATTCGTGTAATAATTATTAACACAACGTGTACATCTGATAGACTATTTCTCATAATGTCACCTTACACTAGTTCTCATTTGTCTCCTGCTGGATTATCGGACACTCGTTGTAGACAGCTCATTCTACACTTTTCGTTCTCTTTCTTTCCTTGACCAATCTGAGGAAAATGTAGCGGCGGCGATCGATGCTACTATATGTGTTAGCTATCGGATAGAGGCAGTGAAACGTAAAGGAAACGAAATAAAAAAAAACATAAAGCAGAAGGCGAGAGAAAGAACGTCTGAAAATCCTACGGGTACATATATACTGCAAGAAATCCCACAGTGAGAAAGAGAAGGAGCTTAGTCGCCTCTTCGCGTGTCCGAGACGACGTGGTAGCGAGCGGCTGAGGCAAGAGAGCAAAGTTTGTCCTCGTCGGCAGGGAGAAGATAGCGGTGTGAGACAGAAAAAGAGAGAAAGAAAGAGAAAGAAAAAAAATCCCGCCACCGAGCGCCGTGATATGCGGAGTCAGGGGGAAGCAACGTAAGATAGAAGGAGAACGACGGCGCGGGCGAGAGAAAGAGAGAGGTGGTCATAATCGCGCAGACCGCGTCATAATCCGCGACGAAAAACATTTGACGAGCGCACCGGGCTGGTAAAGGGGCAACGCGATAGGGCGTGGCACGGCTTGACTCCGCCTACGTGCCTCAACTCCCCTCCACTATCATCACCCGATCCGTAAGTAGGGGTCTAGTCTTACGCGACGCACGGAATCGTATCGAGTGTACGAGGCGAGGAAGTGGGGGGTCTGCGAGACGAGGATGGAGACTCGTGTGGCATTCGTCCCGTGACCGCGATGAGAGTAGGACGAAAAGACAGGACACACACACGTACATACACCGAGAGCATGTGTTTAACACGCGCGCGCGCTCACGTTGTCCAGCATACACGGTGAGATCTTTTTTGCGCGCATACGCGGTGGTCTTGTTGGCTGGTCAGTGTGGAGATTGGCTGAAGTTTTGCACGAAGGAACTTAGTGCAGCGTTTCG